TCAATAAGTTGTTATTAATAAGGAATTATTCCTTTTCCACTTGCTTGTCGTAGGGTTTGATTGGTGAGGCTTTTCCCGGGGCTAGAATCAGCAGTTCGAACGAAATCAACAGTTGCTTCGTACCTGTTCGGCAACTTCCACGCTTCATGCCCATGCTGGGCTCTTATCCGTCGAATTCGATCGGTTTGAGTTCGGGAAATGGATGTGCGTTGCCGTCTTCTGCGTGATGCACTTGATGTTTTTGCCCCTGTGACCGATTAAAGACGAGTGGTCCGTCATGGCCAGCTGACATACGTGGTGTTTGTTGTGGAGATTGTTGAAAACTGACAGTGAGTATGGCAGAGTGCTTCGCAGTCGACCTGAAAACTACCAGAAACTGAACGGTTTGCTTGACAATTTGTGTGCATGCAGAAGGGATAAGTTGGGAATATAAAGAGTACACTGAAACAAAGACCATAGGTTACTTACCTTACCAATCAGGCTAAGGCCTTGTTGTCCTCTGCTGTCCGAAGAAGTCGTCTCCACTCTACTCGATCCATGGCCACAGTTCGCCAGCCTCGTAGTCTGCGAAGGGTCCGCAGGTCACCTTCTACTTGGTCGATCCACCTTGCCCGCTGCGCGCCTCTTCTTCTTGTTCCTGTTGGGTCGCTTTCTAGAACCATTTTCACTGGGTCGTCGTGCGGCATTCTTACGACGTGCCCAGCCCACCGTAGTCGCCCAATTTTTGCAATGTGGACGATGGATGGTTCTCCCAGCAGCTGGTGCAATTCGTGGTTCATTCGCCTCCTCCACGTTCCGTCATCCATCTGCACTCCACCGTAGATGGTACGCAACACCTTCCGTTCGAAAACACCAAGGGCGCGTTGGTCCTCCACGAGCATAGTCCAGGTCTCGTGGCCGTAAAGGACCACCGGTCTAATCAGCGTCTTGTAGACAGTCAACTTCGTGCGGCGGCGAATTTTATTCGACCGGAGCGTCCTCCGGAGTCCAAAGTAGGCACGATTCCCTGCCATAATGCGTCTTTGAATTTCTCTGCTGGTATCATTTTCGGCGGTCACCAGTGAGCCCAAATACACGAACTCATCGACCACCTCGATTTCGTCACCGTCAATCTGAACTCGGGGTGGGAGGCTAACATTGTCTTCACTAGAACCTCTTGCTTTCATATATTTTGTCTTTGATGCGTTGATGGCAAGTCCAATCCGTCTAGCTTCAGCCTTCAGTCTGATGTACGTTTCCGCCATCATCTCAAAGTTCCGTGCCATAATGTCAATGTCATCGGCGAAACCAAGGAGCTGGATGGACTTCCTGAATATCGTGCCACTCGTGTCTATCCCAGCTCTTCTGATCACACCTTCTAACGCGATGTTGAACAGCAGACACGAAAGTCCGTCACCCTGCCGTAACCCCCTTCGAGATTCAAAGGGACTCGAGAGTGTCCCCGATACTCGAACAACGCACGTCACTCGATCCATCGTCGCCTTGACCAATCGCGTCAGTTTATCCGGAAATCCGTACTCGTGCATAATCTGCCATAGCTGATCTCGATCGATTGTGTCGTATGCGGATTTGAAATCGATGAACAAATGATGTGTGGGCACGTTGTATTCGCGGCATTTCTGCAGAACCTGCCGAATCGCGAAAATTTGGTCCGTGGTAGCGCGGGCACCCATGAATCCCGCCTGGTATTGCCCCACGAACTCTCTTGCATATGGTGACAGACGGCGGCATAGAATTTGGGAGAGTACCTTGTAGGCGGCGCTCAGCAGTGTGATCGCGCGGTAGTTGCAGCATTCCAACTTGTCGCCCTTTTTGTAGATTGGGCATACGACACCTTCCATCCACTCCTCCGGTAATATCTCCTCCTCCCAAATCTTGGCAATTACCCAGTGCAGCGCTCTAGCCAGTGCTTCACCACCGTATTTCAATAGCTCACTTGGTAGTTGATCTACACCAGTTGCTTTGTTGTTCTTCAGCCGACCGATCTCCTCCTCAACTTCTTGAAGATCAGGGGCCGGTAGCCTGTCGTCTTCTGCGCGTGCTCCAAGGTCTGTTGCCGTGCCACCTTCGTTTTCTGCTGCTTCACCGTTGAGGTGCTCGTCATAGTACTGTTTCCACCTCTCAATCACCTCACACTCGTTCGTGAGAAGGTTACCGTCCAAGTCCTTGCACATATCGGCTTGCGGCACGTAGCCTTTGCGCGAACTATTTAGCTTCTCGTAGAACTTCCGTGTGTCGTTTACGCGGTACAGATTTTCCATCGCCTCGCGATCTCGATCTTCCTGCTGACGCTTCTTCCTTCGGAAAACCGAGTTTTGTCTGTTCCGCGCTTGTCTGTATCGCTCCACATTCAATCTCGTGCGGTGTTGCAGCATTCTCGCCCGTGCTGCATTCTTCTCCTCTACTAACAGTTTGCATTCGCCGTCAAACCAGTCATTTCTTCGGTCCGGGATTGCAGTACCTAGTGCCGCTACAGCAGTACTACCTATGGCTGAACGGATGTCCCTCCAGCCATCTTCAAGAGAAGCTGCGCCAAGCTGCTCTTCCGTGGGTAGTGCAACTTCCAGCTGCTGCGCGTAGTCCTGGGCAACTCCGACGTCCCGTAGTTGCTCAATGTTGGGTCGCGGCGTTCGACTTGGACGTGTGTTTTGTACCGTCGAGAGTTTTGAGCGCATTCATAGTGCAACTAGGTAGTGGTCCGAATCTATGTTCGCACTGCGGTACGTGCGGACGTTGATAATGTCGGAGAAGAATTTCCCGTCGATTAGAACGTGATCGATTTGGTTTTCTGTGTGTTGGTCAGGTGATCTCCAGGTGGCTTTGTGGATATCCTTGCGGTAGGAAACCTATTTTGCAGAAAACACCTATTTTCAGTATAACTACGCTTAATGCCGTTAAATCTACCATGATTTCAGTATAGTTGACTATAAATATAAACAAATTTAATACCATTCTGTCAAAACCACTATTCTTACTCAAACGGCATAGTTGGCATAGGATGGATTGAAAATTTATGCACGTTGAAAATTATATGAGAGGTTTAGGGTAAAAATGAGAGAATCCTGAAGTGTCGTTCCCCCTGGATGACGTACGGTATAGGAACAATAAGGAGGTGCTTAGTACAGCATTTATGTGATTATTTGCTAATTAGGGGGATTCCGTTATTCAAAATCAAAGCAAAAGCTGAGTGCATCCCATTAGGCATAAATACGTTAGGCATACGGACGTTAGGCATAATGGACGTTAGGCATAAAGTCATTAAGCATAATGGACGTTAGGCATAATATACGTTAGGCATAATGGATGTTAGGCATAAAATACCTTGCTGCTGTGCAACTGTAGAAACCTGTTTCGAGCATGGTAAACAATGCTTAAATTAGGCTAAGCATTATATAATAGATAAAACAATTTATACAAACATAGTTTATTTATCAAGCACAGTTTGTAATCCATTATTTATCATATCATAAGTGACGTAGCTACATATTTACTTATATCCAAGATTAGTAGTGATAGCGGTTAAGTATTCTGGCAATGAAAACTCAGCACAGTTTTGAACTATATCTTGAAATCAATCGTATCTAGAAATAAAAAAAATCACACATTTGTTGTAATATATTCTTACACACATATTGCAATTGTCAAAGAAGAAAAGGTTTTCCTTAAAGAACAGCTCACGAAATATAGCATGGTGAATTCTGTTGTTTTTCATTCAACAACAAAACAACAGCTAAGGTGGAGTAAAAGATGACGCCACAGAACAGCTCATGAAAAAAGAATGGTGAATTCTGTGGATTTTCATTCAATAACAAAAAAAAACATACCTGCTGCTTCCAGGATTTCCTGCCATACTTTTCGATACAACGATTCTGTTTTTGTTGTCATCAGAATGATAACTAGCGGAACCGTCTGCTGATGTGAGGGAGCGATACTTCCATGAACAGTGACGAGTTGCCGAAACAAACAAGGAACTGTGGTAAACGTACCATCTGTAACCCAACACTTTGCCTTTCCAAGACGTCGCAAGTTTTCATGAGTTCCAAAAATTAAGGCTCTTTCATTATTGTCACCGAAGTCAGCAATCAATAGACGGTCCCTACCCTTCTGGAATTCATCGGGTGGATTATGTCTAAAGTCCATTATGCCTAACGTCCTTTATGCCCAACGTCCATTATGCCTATTGTACATTATGCCTTACGTCCGTATGCCTAACGACCGTATGCCTAAGCTCGTTCTCCACCTGTTCAATGTTTTGATAGTCGGATGCAAAAATTAGCGAAGGCGTGACAGTAGCACTCTTTTATAACTTTACAGGTTCAAGCAGAACGATGCGCAATCACTCGATTGTGACGTCTGGGTTTGGGAAAACGTATATTTCATGAAAACAATAACTACATTATCACTATTTATTTCTACATTTTTCAAAAGCTGTTTAATGGAAAATTGGAAAACTATTTATTTCAATAGATTTGTAGAGGTATATACTATCGATTGGTGTTTTTGGATTTTCATTTCATCCATAAATGACAAAGTTATAAGCGTTCAAAACCTAACAACTTTTCGTGACGGCCACAATTTTAGACTTTCGATTCACCCCTTGTACCTTCCCATAAGACGTTTGACGTAGACTACGTAGAAAATAAAAAAAAAACGTACCAACAAAAAGTTCAAAAAATTTACCAAAAAAATATTGTTCTTCGATTTTTGTCAGTTTTAAAGTGTCCTTGTTAAAATGTAAATAATTTCCCACAACACACAGTTTAGCAAAGTTTCATACAAATCGGAGAAGGCGGTTCATAAATTAATATTTTTTTTGTTTCGCAATTTTGCCATTTTTAACTACTCTTCTGCAACTCAGAAATGATCACATCCGGGACATTGAACACTTCCGAGATCACGAACTAAACGAAAATATCTAAATCCTGGGAACCATCCGTGCGGCGACTACCCACCACTCCCCCCATTGAACTAGCAAGCAATATCCAGTCATCTTTCAAAAGGTTCTCGTTTGCAGACTACGCCATCAACGACGACGACAACGAAGAAAAAGCGAAAGAAGCCCAGTACGGACGATGATGATGACGATGAGGATGACTTCCTGGACTTCCTGGGTGATGATGACGATGATAGCGACGACGACGATGATGAGGAAGAGGAAGAAGATGAGGAAGAGGAGGACGAGGAAGAACAGGAAGAGGAAGCCGAGGAGGAAACCAGCACCGACGGCGCTAGTCGGTTGTGGTCAGCGGATGCATTCAATAAGATCTCCCAAACTTTGGGGGCATTGAACACGGTCGGTAGGTATATTGTGAATATCACCAAGGGGCAGGAAGCTGCTCCGGTCAACTCGATCAACATAGATCGGAAGGAGAACGTCCCAGATGCGATACTCACCTTGACGAAAACGATGTTGGGAGCGAATGTTACCAAGACCATTGAACCGTTAATCAAGCGTGTGGGAGGGCCAGAGGTAGAATCCACGACCAGTCCGGCGGTGACGATGCCAACGACTACGGACACTACGACGACCACTGAGTTGACCACGTCTACGACTGAGGTTGTGGAAGCGGTAACCGAGGAGCAGCCTTTGGTGGTACAGAAGAAGGAGGACGTCGCTGCCGCGACTCCATCCAGCGCTATGCAAAAGAAGAAGAAAAAGAAGAAGAACAAGGTCAAGAGGAAGGATCCAACGCACGTGGAGACCACCAAGAAACCTGCTACAGCTAGTGAGTATCTATTTGGGACTGTTTTGATAACAGCTCTGTAACCTTGTTAATCTTTTCCCAGACAAAATCGTTGAATCGACCAAGGACGCGGAGAATCAGTGCACAACACCGGATGGTCGACCTGGGCGTTGTGAAGATCTGAGTACCTGTCCGGGTCTGCTGCTGGATCTGACACATCTCCGAGAGTCGCTGTGCTTCAAACGTCTTTTCGTACCGGGAGTGTGTTGCCCGACTCCGACCAGTACAGTGCTCACGACGCAGCGACCAACCCAGCGCCCGATACCTCAGACAACGTCACAGAGCTTAGTGCTCAGTCCACTTACCCATAAACCGACGACTACAAAGCGTCCATTGGTTCCGGTGTTCACCGTTCCAACATCGACGGAACAGATACTGGCTGCCACGCTGAGGCCTATTACAGAAAACGTAGTTGATCCGGAGGACTGCGGACAGCAGGAGTACTCTTCCGGGCGAATCGTCGGTGGTATCGAAGCTCCCGTTGGTCAGTGGCCTTGGATGGCCGCAATTTTCCTGCACGGTCCGAAGAGGACGGAATTCTGGTGCGGGGGTTCGTTGATCGGGACCAAGTACATCCTGACGGCGGCGCATTGTACGCGGGACTCTCGACAGCGGCCGTTCGCAGCTCGCCAGTTTACCGTACGGTTGGGGGATATTGATCTGTCGACGGACTCCGAACCATCGGCGCCGGTAACGTTCAAGGTGACGGAAGTGCGAGCTCACCCGAAGTTTTCCCGGGTTGGTTTCTACAATGACATTGCCATTTTGGTTCTGGATCGGCCCGTTCGCAAGTCCAAGTACGTGATTCCGGTGTGCACGCCCAAGTCGAATCTGCCGTCGAAGGATCGGATGGCTGGTAAGTGCGCTGGGGACGGGCGGGAAGAGGTTGGGTGAGTTATTGATGTTTGACTTGTTGTTGTAGGTCGCCGAGCAACGGTGGTCGGTTGGGGTACGACCTACTACGGCGGGAAGGAGTCGACCAAGCAGCAGCAGGCCACGCTGCCGGTGTGGCGCAACGAGGACTGTAACCATGCGTACTTCCAGCCCATCACGGATAATTTCCTGTGCGCCGGCTTCTCGGAGGGAGGAGTCGACGCCTGCCAAGGGGACTCCGGTGGGCCGTTGATGATGCTGGTCGAAGCCCGCTGGACGCAGGTCGGAGTGGTTTCGTTCGGGAACAAGTGCGGCGAACCGGGCTATCCTGGCGTCTATACCAGGGTGAGCGAGTACATGGAGTGGATACGGGAGAACACCAAGAAATGAGGGAGAAAGAGAGAGAGAGAGAGGGGAACTTCCTCGGGAAAACAACAATCGCCATAAGGAGAAATAACGATACAAATTTGTGATAGAAGAAGAGAAGACGCGATTAGTTAAACGAGTATTTTGTATATAATTTATTTTTTCCTCCCTTGTCTTTTAAACAATAGTTCTTAAATCTTATTTATGTAACTTATACACAGCATTTTTCTTCTTCGTAAAGTACAGGAAAGGAAAGAAAAATCTTAGCTAGTAAAAAATGTACAACTCTGTAATTGTTCTTCTTCTGCTTCTTCTGTGCTAATTCACTGTATTTTTTTTTTGTTTTGGTTTCTTAAATTTCCTTATCCATCATTAGATTAGTTAACGAGTAATAAAATTCTTCCATTCGTGGTGTGTATGCGCTAGCGATTCTATTCCGTAGTCGTAGTCGGTATTAACAAAGAAAAATAAAATCACGTGTACAGTAGACGGGTTTGTTTTTGTTTGTGTTCATTTTGCAGAAGCCATTGTGTTTGGGTTAAGCCTGAAAAGTGAGTAATTTCGCTGAATCGTACATTTGTCGAAGCATGCTATGGTTGTTTTGAACGAGTTTTTTTTCACAGCCTCTTTGGCTTTTCACTTCGGACATCTTGAGGCGGATTGTTGTGTAAACAAACCTTCATCTCGAAGGCGGTGAGTATCAGTTTGAAATCCGCAACTGTCGAAATTTTACTTTAGTACAGAAACTAAAAAAAAACTTGTCATTCTGTGGACAGTTCGACAAATCAGCCAAGCAGTTTTTTGCCCTTTGACCAAAATCCTTATTTTTAATACTAGAACCATTTGCAATGAAATCTGTAAAGATTGATAGAACCTAATTGTAGAGGTAAAACTACTGATAAAAATATGAGCAGAACACTTTAGGTGATGGAGTTCGAGTTATTGGCGAAATGTTGGCAAACTGCTCGAATGATTTGTCACTTGGATCCTGTTTCACAGTCCCGTAAATTTTCTCCTAAAAGCGAGTGCTTCATGCCGGGGAAAACTCCTCCAGTGGAAATCGTGAATGATACGGAAATTAATTGAGGCAACACTGCCGCTGAATTAATGCTGGCCATTCCTATATCAATTTACAGCATGCGACAGAAACCTTTATCAGTGGGGCCAATTTTACGGGCCGCTGAATTTTTCGTTCTACGAAATTGAAATTGAAATCAAAATCAAAGAACATTTGCTATGCAATCTTCAGAACCATGACCTGATTTGTTGTCTTCCTCATATTCTACTGATGGCCCAAATCAAAATATTGTTCGAATTTGACACATCATTTGTTATTAGTAGACAAATGATGATTGTGAACTTTATGAATTTACGAAGGGCACCGACACATTTAGTTTTGTTTGCTGAATCTCGGTAATTTTTGCACTGCCGAGCACCGGACAAACACATTTGACTGGGAAGACAGCAAAAGTGACGTTTAATTGCCGAGTTTCGAAGAATGTTGGTTGTGAATGGAGTGATGCCATTTCTACGCAACCCCTCTGTAGATTTAAGGGACAATTTATATGGATTTACGGATTCGTAGACAAAATCTAAACAGTTGAAAATCAATTTTCAATTGATATTTCGCAAATGTCGCTGTAAATCTCCCAACCACCTATCAACGGAATTTTGCATTCACTGCTAGGGGTATTCAAATCTGCACACCTTAATCTGTGCCAAGATGTTTATCAGTGCCGAAAGCTGTGCCAAGCGTTGTGTCGATTATTCCGAAGTAGGCTAAAGTGATTTACACTTTCAACTTCTCTAATTTATCACCATGGTTCATGGCAAATATTAAGCTTCATTCTCATTAGAATGAGAGTGGATTGGGCAGTGGAAGCAATACAACCGATACGACCCGTCCACAAGAAACGGCCGGTGGACGAAATTTTCACCAGGTGCCAGTAAGATGCTCCCCGACAAAATCAAACCCAGAACTCGAACGGACGAAAGTTCACTCCAACCCTAGAAACAACATCCTCGAACCAGTTCTGATCGACTCAGAACTACGCAACCTCGAAGGCATCACCCAAGAGTCACGTATCGGAGATTATGACGTCTCCTACCATCTCAATTACACACGTTCAAGCCTATCAAGTTCACGATCCTTTGCAGATGTACCACCAATCAAAACTAATGGCCAATGCACCTCGGAAATGGTGCACGATCCAGATAAACTTCGCATCTGCAGTTCAACTGTACCCTTTGGTTGTTGTTGTTGTTGTTGTTGTTGTTGGTATGGAATTCTTGAACCTGAATCAAGTTAACGTTCAGCTGAATAATTTAGGTCGCACTCTCGATTTGGTTTTCGCACCTGAGACCAGTTGTGCTGTGGTATATGCTGCTGAGGAATCTCTGCTGCCAATAGATCTTCATCACCCCCTACTCAGCATTCGCAATAATGTTCCAGCCGAAGGTCACTCCTGGTCGCGAATGAACACGAAAGAGCACTCAACTACTGTTACGTATTAGAATTTGCATTTAGTTTTGAAGCTATTTGAAATAAGACTGTGTTCCATTTGGTCTTCGAAAATAAATTATAATGTTCGAAAATCCCTCTGTTGTTGATTTTCCGATTTTCAAAAAGGTGTTTGTCAAAATTGATTCCTTGTCGGTCAGAAATAAATCTGGTACAATAGCAGGTTTATTTTAAAATTTTCCATCTGTCAAATTTAAGTGAAAATTTACACTTAGATTTGACACTTCGAAAATAAATTAAGATGTTCGAAAATCCCTCTGTTGTTGATCGGCCGATTTCGAGAAAGCGTCTGTCAAATTGATTCCTTGTCGGTCATAAATAAGTCTGCTGGAATAGCAGGTTTATTTCGAGGGGGACGACTCTATCTACAATGCAGAAAAGATTGTGTTTAGCTGTGGCATGCACGCTGAGTAGATAAAAGGAAGATTTATGTCGATTTTGAAGATTTCCTGCAAAAAGATGATGAAATCAAATCAAAAAATCAGATTGACCGCCCACGGTTGCTGCTCTGTTATAACCAGATCAGCTGCAATTACACAGAGAACCAACAGATGATGTTTGGGACTAACATTCATCCTCAATGTGTAAGAACTGGAGATCTAATATTTAGCAATACCAGCACCGGCCGTGTCCGAATGCAGGTCAACTAAGGGAATGGGAAGGAATGTGTTGACGTGGTACTCGCTGTGAAGGAAACCGAGAAATCCTCTGCGCTTCCACGAGAAATCACTGGGATGTTGGATGTGGGGAAAGGTTGCACGCACACGCAGGGATCGTTTTTGGTAGAGCGATTATAATACACAAACACACACACACACACGCGCGCGCACTCATCCAATTTCTATTTTTAGATCAGGACCCACACTGTGGTAGGTGATGCAATCGGTGTTAAAGAAGAATTTGTTTTCATTAAAATCTAGTGGGTATAGAATAAGGCAAAGTGAAAAATTGCAAGGAAGGGGACGGGCCTGGGATTGAACTCCCGACCTTCTGCTCAGTAAGCAGAAACGGTAACCACTGAGCTACCGAGCCTCGTCAATTTCCTGTAAAAAGATGATGCACGATGAAGTAGATGCGAGAAATGAAAGATGATTTTTCGAAGATTGATTCGCTAGTGAGAGATTTTTTGAGCATCTAGAATTGAGATTTAGATGTGTCGCCCCCCTCGGTTTATTTGACAATTTTCCATCTGTCAAATTTAAGTGAAAATTCACCAAATAGAACACAGCCTACACGCTATTTCCAAACTACCCAAATTTGGGTAGAATCCACCCAGATCCGTCAAAACTGAACCTACCCAAAAATGGGCTAAACTGTGTTGGGAGTGACAAGTTGACAAATGAACAACATTGACATCAATCCGATCGACGTTGTTCATTTGTCAACTTGTCACTCCCAACACAGTTTACCCATTTTTGGGTAGGTTCAGTTTTGACGGATCTGGGTGGATCCTACCCAAATTTGGGTAGTTTTGAAATAGTGTGTAAGTACAAGCTGTTGACACCTCGGTTGACACAACTAGTGAGTAATCGCACGTGAGCGTGCACAAGCAATGATGCTGCATGGGTCTCAAATGGGAAACGAACCAAACAACGAAAACATCATCGACAGCGAAGTAGAGAAATCGGCAGAGGAAAAGTTTGCTTGTCCTCGTCTGAATAGCACGCGAAACGGCGTGGTTTGTCGTGCCGGGTGAAAATTCAATTCTCGGTTGTACGAGCTGCCGGTGATGGAAAGAATTCCATTCGTGGTGAGTGCTGCTGTTGGTGATCGGAGTTACATATTTTTCTTCGTGGTGCGGATTGCCGTGGACGAACCGATTCGCGACGCGGCTCTGAAGGCAAAGTATTCCGCCTGGTTCGTTCAGCAAACCATGAAACGAGCTGGGCTTCGTGTATTCAAGGTCCGGAAGGCACCGAACCGGCGTGATCAACAAAACACGGCGGCCAAATCCCGCGCAAGGAACCTGTATCGAGAGTGGTTAACGCAACCGATGTGTGTGGTTATTGATGGCGAAACCTACATCAAGGCAGCCGCAAAGCAGATACCGTGGCTGGAGTTCTACGTTGCCAAATCACGGTTTAATGTTCCGGAAGACATAAGGAAGAAGAAAGTGGACAAATTCGCCGAAAAATACATGCTCTGGCAGGCCATATACCAATGCGGTAAACTGAGTAAACCGTACATCACAATGGGTACCATCAACAGCGAAATTAACCGCACCGAGTGCCTCCAGAAACGTCTGTTGCCCTTGCTGTGGTCCCACGGAGGCGAGACCTTATTTTAGCTGGACCTGGCATCATGCCATTACGCGCGAGCGACGTTGGATTGGTACAGAGACAATAACGTTGTTTTTGTACCAAAAACCACCAACCCCCCAAATTCACCAGAGATTCGTCCGGTGGAAAGATTTTGGGCCATAATGAAGGTCAAAGTTCGAAAATCGTCCAAGGTGTTTAAGAACGAGCTGGAGTTGAAGAAATAATGGATGAAAGTGACCGAAAAGGTCGGCTCCACCATTGCACAAAATGTAATGAGGGGTCTTAAGGGAAAGGTGCGGGCTTTCAGCGATGGAAAGGAAATATGTATTAGTTCATGCCCTGAAAGCTTCAAGAAAATTCGACTTAAAATAAATTTTTGGCGAACACTTTTGTCTGGTGCATTTTTTTCGAGTACAGGCCTTAGCTTCCCAACACACCCGCTGGAAGACTCTTCCAAGGGTGGCGTCACATCTAAATCTCAATTCTAGCTGCTCGAAAAATCGCACACTAGCAAATCAATCTATGAACAATCTTCTTTCATTTCTCGCATCTACTGGCATCGTGCATCATCTTTTTGTAGGAAATCTTCAGAATCGTCTTCAATCTTCTTTCTATCTAATCAGCGTGCGCGCAGCTAACCACATCAGAACAAAATCTATCCTGCATCATAGGCCCCCCTTGGACTATTCCGACTTCCCCTCGAAAGTATCACTGAGTAAAGAACCCATCGAGGGTCTTGCAGGGACTTCTCGATATTCTTGGGTACCTTTGAACGAGGGGGAAGACAGTAAGAAATTAAGAGCAATCCAGAGTAACTCTGAAAAACTCTTGCTCTCTGATGAACGATTTTATTATCTCGATTGTCGTCAAATACACTCAATTCATCGGAGAACCTATTAGCAAAACAAACATCATGCACTAACGTTGCTATTTTGATACAAAATATATGGGGCTAGGGGCTAGGGTAAATATATGGGCCTCACAGGACTCATCATCAAGTACATGTTCCCACCGGAGCTGGTAGCCGGAAGGGAATATCAATTCGCTTGCTCTAAGCATCTGGATGCCCAGTACTACGGTAGCAAGATCCTGGTCAATATCATTATCATTGCATAGAGAAAAGTGCCCTGCAGAAAGCCATCATCAGAGTTATTTAAGAAAATAGCCAAAACTTCAATGAAGTTGTAGAAAACGAGATTATTTCCTTATTTAAATATTGCATTCATTTATTTTCTTCATTTATTGTTTTCGTTTTGTTATCGAACTGACATTTGCATGGTCAGATTCCAAAACTATATGCCCTACTTATTTTGTTTTCGTCAAATTAGATCAGATCTCAGAGCAAAGCAGAGTAACTCTTTCAACTCTGAGTAAAAGATGTACTCAAATGAAAGCCGTCTTCCCCTCGCCTTTGAATAATTCCTTGGGCATCCTCAAAGTATCGGGATTATCATGTTGAGTACCTCTAATCTACGGAAATCAGGCCAGTGACAAGGCCTATACCAACAGCAGCATTTGACAGTAGGCAGCATGTCCCGGGCTCAAATAATTTATTTTGCTGTGCTGGGCCCGCTGTCACTGTATAACATGTTGCCTACGGGCCTGCCACTGGGCTGACGGAAATAACCTCCAAGAATTTTGGCATCACTGGATATGATCAGATTTCAGCAAACATTATGACCGACCCCTCGGCAGTTCACGCCTCACTCAAGAACGAACCCCGCATCACTCATCGTGAAGCGTGTTTGTGGAAATCCAGCTTGAGCATCAATCTGAGCTCGAGCTCTTTTGCGCTCTTTGGATTTGACACCATTGCTCTTTATATGTGAGGGATGAACTAGCTCACGATGAATGAGCATCTATACGGCATAATCTGAGTTCGAGGAGTTTAAGCAAGCCTGGTTCAAATGACGGCATTCGGCAATCAAATACCCGAGATTCGGCAATCAAAATTAAGTGCAGTAATTTTTCTGTACTCCTGGTGCTTTGCCATATTTGAAAATCGTTCTGCTTTCATGAGTGCATTTTGAAATAGCCGTATCTGCTTTTGTAAACTAAGATTCAGCTGTCAATTTATCGAAACTATTAGCTCGGCCACGCAAACTTACGCCACCATAATGATGGGGACAATTTTTCCCTATCTGATGCTGGTGTTAATTTGTGTGGGCGAGCTAAGAGTTTCGATAAATCGACAGCAGATACGGCAACGAATAACCCCCGGTTGCTCTTCCTTTTGCCGTTTAGTGAAGTGATATCATTCACAGCCTACTCATTGATTGTATGGTTAACCGGGACCCACAATACTGCGTCACCATCAAGCGTTAACGAAGGAGTTCGTCCGTCAAATGACAGAGGTAACGCATGTCAAGTTGCTTTTCCACCGACATCTCTATTACATCGGCGCTGCGTCATTCCGTCAATTTTGATCTGATTCAAATATGACGCTGTTTGTTTCGGTTCTGATTTGTAGCCGGATATTTCCGGAAATTTATAAAACTGTTAAAGAACTTATGTACATGCGCTCACGAATGAATCGCCACCACTTTTTTTTTTGGTTTTCGGTTGCATTATGACATTCATCCGCAAACGTTACTAAACCCTACGGTGAAATCGATATTTGACTTAGCAATGTATAAAGAAATTTCATTGCTGTTATTTTTAATGAAAAATTCATCCTTTTCTTATTATTCATAACGCGCACACACACACACACGCGTGGCAATTTTTGTTGTTGTTGTTGTTGTTATTTTTCAGCACTAGGTATAAAAAATTCCACAGTTGATTTTTCTGTTCGCCGACCACATTTCTAAGACTACTACTACACCACAGTACCATGAAACGTTACAGACTTCAGTTCCTCTACTTTTTGTTTGATGACCAATGCTGCAACCGCCGTTTGATTATATTCATTCGTCATAAAGTAGACATAAGATGCTGATTTTTCCCTTGATCCTAATATAAACACTACTAAAGTTATCGCCCAATGTCCTGTTCCTTGATTTCCCGCTGGAGTTCCGGCATCAACCGTGGCTTCTGTTTGCTTTATGTTTACATCTCCTTTGTCAATTGTCTTGTGAATATTTGCCGTGTCATATAAACTGTGTATTTCCATAGTATGTATGATCAACTCAATTGATAACCCTGTATGTTTTTGTTTTTCTTGTGTGTGTGTTAAATTTGATTTGGTTTATATCTAATGCAATGCATCAAAGTGGGCTTGGGCTCGTTTGAGTGCTATTAGTTTCACCGCCTGCTAGATTAAGATTTGATTTTTCTTCCGTTTGTGATTTCACATTGAGAAAAACTTACAGTCCCGTTCAGCGGTTAGTAGTATGACAGTGAAATGTTTTACCCAATAACAGTGTCAGCAGTAGTAGGTGTGTTTGTGGTTTAAAATTTGCGTCACAGTTTTTTACCTATAGATTGACAGATTGACTACATTTAACAATGCTCCGGAAAACGATTCCTTCTTACAGATTAAAAACACGATTTTTGCTTTACTGCATTAATCAGACAGAGAGCTTATCTAAGCGTGTGTAGATAGCAACTTAAAACAAAAGACGTCTTCGACCTAAAAGTAGAAACCCGTTCCACGTGGACCGGCTTACCGGTCCACGCGCGCTGAACTTCTACCGCGGCGGACAACAGTTGAGCACAGTTGAAATTCGTGATACAGCTGATAGGATTGTCCAGAGAAACAGCTCAAGTCTAAACAACATCAAAAACAGAGCCTACTGGAAGAGGCTTGGAAGGGTCCGTACGTCATACAGTTTTTCCTCTTGGTTTTCATCTACGTACTTGCATATAGACATTCATCCTGGTATCGTTTTGTCCCTTTAAGATTATGTGTGTATATGTCTATTAGGCTCTCTTGTGACTTTTGTTTGATTTTGATTACACGGCTGCCAGCGATGATGCAGGGGTGAGAGAATGGTGATAAAATTTGACTTTTGATGGTGAGATCGACAAAGTGTGCCTGGAGGACTGTGGTTTAAAACTTTTGTTCGTGTGCCTTGGTTGCTTGGATTCATTGGAGGTTCCTGTTTGAGCAGTATTTTTTCACGTGTGGATGTGGTTTCTACAACGGTTTTGCTTCTGATCTGTTCGGTATGTAGGTTGGTATGAATTTTAAAAACTGTTTTGTTTACTTATTTCCGTATATAAACTATTTATCTGGCTACCGACCGTTTGCCGTCGAGTTAATCTGATGCTTCCCATTTCCTACAGAACGGTCTCCCGCAGCTCCTATCCGCTATCACTATTTATATTCATAATATTGTAATTCTCAATAACCATATAGAAGTAATGCTGTGATGCTGGTGTGTGATGTTCCGGCGGCGGCTCGATCGTTTGCCGTCTGCAACGATCTACTCTTCCTCCTCTTCGCGGAAGAGATAGGTGCTCCAGTAGACCAGATTGAACAGGGCGAACACCAGAGGGAACGTTATCCGCGAGATAACGTCGATGCGCTTCGAGCGGGAGCATTGTCTGATGGGTGAGTCATTTGCGAGACAAGGTAAGAGGATCATTAGTTTTTTAAATATAACATAGGCAAAGTTTAGCTAGATTTTCTAGTGGAGGAGTGTCATTGCTTTTCAAAAGCTGGAAACTGATTCTGAGGGGTTCAAATCAAGTAGAAGGTTACTTTCCGAGCTTCAAATCAAAATAAGCATGCAGATTTGGTAAACACAATAAACTAATGCTCGGAACAGTATATATTTCTTTCATCTTGGAATTTATCGCAGAAATAATCATTTTTTATCAAATTACCTTATTACCTAAATCTGGTACTAGGAAGTGTTTTGAGCCATGGGAATGAGTAAACAGTAGTTAACTAGAATGTATGTAGCATCTACCCAGTTAGACATGCTCGCCCCATATGTGCGAGCATGTTGAACGGGGCACCCTATCTATAAAGAGACGATTATCTTTCATAACTTTTTTTTCAGAGATGTAAACAATATTGCTATAATTGCAGATTCTCTTCGTCGACTTTCTCTTTGTATCCCCACGGCCATCTTAAGACATTCCCAGGTATTTTTAGTACACAGGTCGATAAAAGAAGCTTTCATCTAGCACCTAATACGACATACACAACAAGAAACGGTTATGTGCTCATGTTATTAACGAAAGAGAAAGTCGACGAAGAGAATGGATCAATGTTATTTAGGACCTAATGCATTGTTCAGATTGACTTCTCAAAACCAGGGGTTGGATGTAGCTGTCAAATACAAGCAATCGTCGTCTACCTCGTATAACTAAAGCCCTAAAGTAAAAGTATGGACGCCTGTCAAAACTTGTTCCAATCGAACCGTCAAAATGCACCACTTTGATCGATTGGAACAGCTTTTTTTTCAGTTTTGTGGTGACAGTCGTCCATACTTTAACTAATAGTACGTTCAGACTACAGAGTTATAACATGTTATAGCGCTATCTTGATGGTGGTTTCTGTGTTGCAATTAGTTGACAACCGTTATAACATGTTATAACTGTTATAACTCTCCAGTCTGGACAGCGTTTAAGCGTAGTAGTAGTCTGAACGTACTTTAAAGGGCTTTACGTATAACTGGTTCCAAACTTAAGCAAGTCATCATAAACCTACATGGTTTGTTTACGTTTGGGATCAATTTCATAAAAGAATGATCAGAAGGCTGATTTGAGAGCACCATAGTTGCTTCCACTCACTTGTTATAAAAATGTGTTTTTCAGAATTATGAAATAAGTTATGTTATAGTGTAAATTAGTTGCTGTAAGTTACAAGAAGAGGTTGACACAAACAATCTGCCAATTCAACTTTCAGTGCGTCATAATCAGCGATTTTACGATTCGTGAGCGTAAAATCGCTGATTGTGACGTTCTGAATGTGAAATGAGTTTAACAACCTCTTCTTGTAACTTACAAGTTTCTATAGCTAGTGATTCGAAGCAACCCTGGAGAGCGGGGACGTGCCCAAAATACAATTTTCATAGGTGAGAATAGTTGCTAAAATGCCAATAAAAAAAAAACTTTTTTCTTTGTTTTCTTTTACTTTTACTAGAGACTGGCTGGTTTTGAGCCAAACGAACTATCAAACGAGCAGCTTCTATGTTGATTGCATTGGCAGTGTTGCTAGAAATCAGCTACACTCATGCATATTATATACATATGCACGGCACTTAAAATTTGACCAGTTACTTTTGCATATGGAAAATATGTGTAACGCTGATGAAATCTTGTTGATTCCATCAAGATAGTTTTTATTTGCAGTTCTTTTGATTTTTAATGCCAGTCTTATGACTATGAATACTCACTGCAAATGATTTATATTTGTAAGACTAATAAAATTTATTATTAAGTTTATTGCATTGCAGCTGATACTATTAAATTTAAATTATATTACCATTAATCTGTTCTGAACCAAAACTACTTCTAAATTGTTTGTAGCTTTAACATAATAAAAGTAGTTTAAGATCATTTATAGATTGAAGTTAGAATTTAAGAAAAAGGCAGTATTTTAAAATCATGTGTTTATTATTTATTTATTTCACGTCGTCCTTGTATTGTTGACATGCACGAGGGCTAAAGAATGCTTTCGTTGCGGTGGTGGAAAATGAATGGCGAGGTTTGAAGTTCCTGACTGGCCACTAGAAGCCCTACAGGAGCCTGCGCCGGAATGACCGTTCCGAGGGCAATCCATCAAATGGCCACAAAATTATGATAAACAGTCTCCTGCTGTAAATTCACGAATTTTAATACCCATATTGTAGAGGTTTCTTCCCAAACACTTCTATGGCCACTAGAGGCCCTACGGGAACCTACTCCGGAATGACCGTTCCGAGGACAATCCATCGGATGATCACAAAATTATGATAAACAGTCTCCTGCTGTAAATTCATGAATTTCAATAGCACATAACTATTGCAGGGGCTTCTTCCCAAACACTTCTATGGACACTAGAGGCCCTACAGGAACCTGCGCCGGAATAGCCGTTCCGGGTACAAATCTTAAACTGGTCCTCAAGTAAGCTGAAATTGTTTCTTGAAGGAGATTCTGATACTTTACAATTCTAGCGCAAGTGGTAGGAAAATGCTTAGTTCTGGAACATTATACAGGAAATCCGGATTTCCGGGAACCAGGCGATTCTGGATGGACATTGTTGGCAATGTCCAGAAAGAAGATAAGTTTTTGAATCCAAAGGTGCCAAAAGATTCAGAATCGGTCAAAATTGGCCGCAGTAGCAAGTATTTCAATTTTGTGGGTACCCGGGTACCCTTGTCGAGCTTCTAAAGGGTAAACAATTTCACATCCCCGCACCCCCCTCCAAGGGGTGCGACACATCTAAATCTCGATTTTAAACGGTCGAAAAATCTCACACTAGCGAATCAATCTACGAAAAATCTTTTTTCATCTTTTGCATCTAAACCCATCTACTCGCTCCGTTCTCCACCTTCATGCAGGAAATCTTCAAAATCACAATCAATCGTGTTTCTATCTATTAAGCGCGAGTGCATCTCACAAAAGCAAAGCTAAAAATTTCCTGCATCTTAGATAGAGTCGCCCCCCTCGCCCCCCTCCTTTCGAAGCCCCTTGGTGCAATTTGAAATCTTTCTTCATGAAAAGTTGTCCCTGCATGAGTTCTAAAATGTCACTGAATTCTGGTTGAAATCTGAAAAGGTACCCGGGTACCCTGTCGATCACATAACGGCTAATAAGTACACACAAAGAACAAATATTGTTGCTATACAAATAATGCAATTTTAAATTAAATTTTTCCCAAATTGTGTAGTTTTAACATTGAAAATATTCAAAACAAAAGTTACTTTTTTGATTTAAAAGTGTTTCTTTTACTTTTCGACACGTAATTTCAAAAGTGATTTTTTGAAATAAAAGTTGTTGAACTGTCAAAAATACCTCTTCATTGCAATGTTTTTGGCAGCACTGGACTTCAGTTTGGCGCTAAATTTGACGAGCGACACAAAACAAGGCGAAACAGCTTCCAATTGAATGAAGTTTACACTTCACTCACTTTGCTTCCACCCCAGCTTCCACCGGATTTACCAGGCAGAAAATCATTAAGGTGAGAATTTTTGGGAATGATCGCATAAATAGTTTTCATTCATTTTAATTTTGCAGAACCGGAACCGGAACCGGAAAGCTAACCGGGATGCAGATTATCGCTTTCAGCTTCCGACATTCCTGAAGATGTTTCGCAGGGCCAATGTTGGACTTCATCATAGTTCAGAGCACCAGATTTGGACAAACTTGACTCAACGGATTGAATTCATCTAGTATCCAGGCAATTATGCATTACATTATTCACACAGCAAAAAAATAATTTTGATATCACATCAAAGTGGATGCACTACAATCATGTCGAAAATTTCATGTAATTTTTATGACCTCATAAATAAACAAATGCAGTAAAAGCAGCGTAATGTCAGTTCATGCATTGTATTAATGATAATTTTGTCCTTTTTAGCAAGTAATATTACACCATATTTTCGACATGATTGTAGTGCATCCACTTTGACGTGATATCAAAATTATTTTTTTGCTGTGCAGGACATTACCTCAAGAGTTGTTCAAACTTTTTTGTAATTTTCAGTGGAACGGAACTCATTCTTACAAATGACCCAGTCTAACGCTCTGGTTCGATCTCCCAATATCGAAAATCAACCCATGACCGATACGGAATCATCGGCTGAATATTTTCGATTTACGGCTGTTCCGCCGATTCGAATGATTCCACCACAGATTTCCGTACGTCACCCTAAAGATGCCTGTTCTGTTCCCCTTGTGTGTGATGGAGGATTTACCATGCACGTGATCAACGTAGTGCAGCAACGACATCAGCATGTGTTGTTCAACCGAGTCTTCAACCCGGTGATGGGAATTCTGCAGTAATCACATATTTGCCTCAGTTTTTCAACAACAAATAGCGCATCAAATCAAATAGTTCCTCCTTTGCCAAATCAGTGACTGATGTCCGGAACAGAGCTTAGAATTATTGACTGCCTAAGCTGAGTGTGAAAGCACTGCACTAATCAATCCATTGCTCTGTGCAGACCGTTTGTACCAAACGGTAAAGGACGAGGCAATGAAAGAGCCAACAAAAACATTCAGTCACTCACGAGCAGGCGACGCACACCGCTTGCCTTCGCTCACACAGCATGTAATTGAGTCATTTTTCCATAGAAAATGTAAGTACGCTCAGTCATTCAAAACAAATGTTGGGTACCATCACGGCAGAATAAACGTGTTGACTGAGCTACTGACTGAGTGCTCGGCTGTCAGTGACTCGTTTACCTCTGAATCATTCAGACTCTCACGAGGCAGTGAATGATGAGGCAGATGGCAGTTCATATTCATATCAAAATGACTCAATGAACCTGACTGTTTTGCGCACTGGTCCGGAAGGAAGCAACCCACTGCCACGACGTCTTTGAAAATCGGGTAGTCATAATGATTTATTGTTATTGTTATTTATGTTAGGTGATAAAAATATTTCT